AAAACTAATAAAAAAAGAGATAAGGCTCAAATAACTAAAACGAGAAATGAAAGAGGGGACATTTCTATGACTTTACAAAAATAAAAAGGATTATAAAAGAGTACTATAAACAATTGTATGCAAATAAATTGGATAACTTAGATGAAATGGACAAATTCCTAGAAACACACAACCTATCAACCCTGAATCATGAAGAAATAGAAAGTTTGAATAGATCTATAACTTATATGGAGATAGAATCAGTAATCAAAAACTTCCCAACAAGAAAGTCAAGGACAAAATTGCTTCACCAGTAAAAAAGAATTAATAGCAATCGTTCCCAAACTCTTACAAAAACTGGAAGAGAAGGGAATACCTCTTAAATCCAATAAGGCTACCATGTCCTGACACCAAAGCCAGAAAAAGAAACTACAAGGAAAGAAAACCAATATCCCTTACGAATATTGATGCAAAAATGTTAGACAAAATACTGGCAAACTCAATTAAACAGCATGTGAAAAAGATTATACGTTGGGATCAAATGGAATTTATTCCTGGAATGCAAGGATGGTGCAACATATGAAAATCCATCATTCTAACACAAAAACAGAATGAAAAAAAGACACATGATCTTCTCAATCCATGCAGAAAACATATTTGATAAAATTCAACATCCTTTGATGATAAAAACTCTCAAGAAACAAGAAATAGAAGGAAACTACCTCAACATAATAAAGGTCATGTAAGAAAAAACTTACAGCTAATATCATATTCAATGGTAAAACAATGAAAATTTTTCCTTCAAGACCAGGAATAAGAAAAAATGCCCACTTTTGCCACTTGTATTTAATATAGTACTAGGAGTTCTACCCAGAGCATTTAAGGGGGAAAAAAAACTAAAACATGCAAATTGGAAAGGAAGAAGCAAAATTATCTCTGTTCATAGAGAATATGATCTTATATGTAGAAAATCCTAAAGATTCCCCCTCAACACATACACACAGAACTGTTATAATTAATAGATAAATTCAACAAAGATATTGGACACAAAACCAATAAACAAACATCATTTGTGTTTCTATACATTAACAATGAGGAATCTAAAAAGGAAATTAAGAAAACGATTCCATTTATAATAGTATCAAGAAGAATTAAATACATAGAATAAATTTAACCAAGGAGGTGAAAGACTATACACTAAAACCTCTAATACATTGCTGAAAGAAATTAAAGATGACACAAATAAAGGAAAAGACACTCTGTGTTCACAGACTGGAAGATTTAATATTGTTAAACTACTACTTAAAGTAATCTACAAATTCAATACAGTCAGTATCAAAATCCCAATGGCATTTTCTGTAGAAATAGAAAAATCCATCCTAAAATTCAGGCATAATTTCAAGGGACCCCAAAGAGTTAAAACAATCTTGAAAAAGAATATAATTGTAGTTCTCACACCTCCTCATGTCAAAACTTACTACAAAGTTATGGTAATCAAAACCATATGGTTCTGATATAAAGACAGAGATATAGATCAGTGGAATAGAATAAAAGCCCAGAAGTAAACTCTTGCATACATATGCAAATTATTTTCAACAGAGGTGTTAAGACTATTTAATAGGGAAGGGACAGTCTCTTCAACATATTCTGGGAAAACTGGATTCCACATGCAAAAAAGCGAAGTTGGACTCTTACTTTATACCATATACAAAAATTAACTGCAAATCGATCAAAGGCCTAAACATAAAAGCTAAAACTGTAAAACACTTAAAAGAAAAGGCAGGACAAAAACTTCACGACAATGGATCTTGCAATGATTTCTTGGTTATGACAGCAAAAGCACATGCAACATAAGAAAAAATAAATAACCTGGACTTCATCAAAATTAAAAACTTTTGTGCATCAAAGGACTCTATCAACAAAATAAAAGGGCAACCCACAGAATGGGAGAAAATATGCAAATCATATATCTGATAAGGGATTAATATCATGAATATATAAAAATCGTACAACTCAACAACAAAAAGAAGCAAATAATACAATTAGAAAATGGGCAGAGGACTTAAATAGAAATTTCTTCAAAGAAGATATATAAATGGCCAAAAAGTACATTAAAAGATGCTCAACATCACTAATCATTAGGGAAATGCAAATCAAAACCCCAATGATATATGACCACACGCTCATTAAAATGGTTACTATTAAAAAAAATAAAAAATAACAGGGGTTGGTCAGGATGTAGAGAAATTGGAACTCCTGAGCACTGTTTTTGGGAATGTAGAATGGTACAAACACTGTGGAAAATAGTATGGTGATCCTTCAAAAAATTAAAACTAAAATTACCATATGATCCAGCCATTCCACCTCTGTGTATCTACTCAAAACATTTGAAAGCAAAGTCTCAGAGAGATATCTGTACCGCCATGTTCATAGCAGCATTATTCACAAAAGCTAAAATGTAGAGGCAACCCAAGTTTCAATCCACAGATAAATGGAAAAGCAAAATGTGGTATCCACGTATAATGGAATATTATTCAACCTTAAAAAGGAAAAAATTCTGACATGCTACAACATGGATGAACTTTAAAGACATTATGCTAAGCGAAATAAGCTAGGCACAAAAATACTGTATGATTCCATTTATATAAAATACCTAGAGAAATCAAATTCTAGACACAGAAGGTAGAATGGTTGTTTCCAGGGGCTGGGGGGACAGAAGAATTGGGAGTTAGTGCTTAATAGGTACATAGTCTGAGCTGAAGAAGATGAAAACATTCTGCAGATGAAAGATATGGTGGTTGCACAATAATGCAAGTGTACTTAATGTACAGTTAAAGATAGTTAAAATGGTAAGCTTTGTGTTATACGTATTTTGTCACAAAAAAAATAACACAAGAGAAATACTCAGAACAGAGGGATATAAATTCTCAGAAAAGCCACAATAAAGTGAATAGAAAGAAAATCCACCCAAGCAAACAAACAAATATCTATGAAAGAAACTGCTGTGAAACTCTAGAATACCTGGTGGAAAGAGAAAATAATAAAAGTTTCCAGTCAAAAGGGAAAAACAATAAACATAGGTTCACATATATCAGACTGAGAACTAAATGGCAATGGACTTCTCAAAGGGTAACACTGGAATCTAGAAGACAGTAAAGCAACTCTGAAAAAGTTCTGAAAGAAGTTCTACACAGTCAAATCATCAACCAAATATAAGTACAGCATAAAGACATGTTTAGACTTTCAAGGTTTTAATAAATTTATCTCCTATGTACAATTTCTTAGTAAACTAATGGAGAAGGCACTGCATTAAAATAACATAACAAACCAAGAAAGAACAAGCTACAGAACATGATACAGAAACAAGGGTCCCAACACAGTAGAGAGACAAATGAATTGTCCAGATCACAGTTGAAGAGATGCACAAAGATAATAGCTGTATTAGCAGATTTTGAGAGTAAGCAGTCCTGATTAAATCAGCAAAATGAAGACTCAAGCAGAAATATCTTGGAAAAAAAATATGTATACATATTGGCGTGCTTGGGGATAGTGGTGGTTTGAATGGTATGAGATTGTCAAACAAGTTTTCAAAAAAAATAGTATAAGAAAGCAAACATATCCTAATATATTGATTGGCTCAGCTGAGAGTAGTATTTACATAATCACAGTAATTAAAACATTAAATATTAATTAACCCCCAATTAGTGATGATATGATTCTATTGGGAGAATAGAGGAGGGGATATGCATGTGTGCGCATTAGGGAGGATTTATAAGAGAATTAAATCTCCATCTTTCACAGTGGAAATTTGTAGATAAAATCTAAAATTGAAAAAGAAATCTTAGCAGAATAAGCATATTATTTGGAAATATGGAAGTAAATAATAGAAGAGTCAGTTAAATTATTAAATAATATTGCCTTGGGGTAGTAGGAAGAGTGAGTAGGGAGGTATGGAACATGAGATTACTATTTTTTCTTCAATTAATTTTGGTTTATAAGCCTAGGAGTTAAATAATTGGATAAAAATAAAATTACTTTTAAATAGAAGATGCAGAGCTTTGTGAAATATATAAAGTACAGGGAACTAAGGGAGAACTGATGAAATAGCAAATAGAGCCACTGACAAATGAGGATCTGGCAGAGTTAGACCAGTTCATATATAAAGATGAGAAAATCAATAAGAATAAAGACACCACCATGAGTTTTTAAAAAGAGAAAGATTTAAATATTTAAGAATTAAAAGCCTGGAGGGAGGGAGAAATGGAGAGCTGTTGTTCAACAGGTATAAAGTTCCAGCTTTAAAAGACGGAAAATTTCTAAAGATCTGCTGTACAAGATTGTGCCTATAGTTAACAACCCTGTAATATGCACTTAAAAATCTTTTACGAGGGTAGGTCTCATGTTAAGTGTCCTTATCACAGTAATTTAAAAAAAAAGATTTAAGAGAAACTCCTGAGAAAATTGGTAAGACCTTCAAATAATTTTACAAAAATGATTTAATGATTTTTCTTCTGATAGAAGAATGTCATCTGATCAGAAAAAAAAATCCTGCAAAAACAAAAGAAAAATAAGTACATATTTGATAACTAAAATTTTATTAAGATGAAATATATTTTCATGTAACAAAAAATAATTATGTTCAAAGCCTGAAAGAAATTTAATATCACTATTTACTAAAAATAATTTATATTAATCTGATACTTGACAGATTTCCTGAAGGAGATACCATGCTGACATAGCCATAGACTAATAGTTCAATACGGTTCTTGCTAATATCCATTTTCCTAATTCCCAACTTCTACTCAAAATCAAGTCCTTGATATCCATGAAACTACTTTCTGAATATGTATATACATATAAAATATTGAATTAGATACAGATATTTTATTTAGAAATCTCAACTTATATTTCATAGAGTCATATTTATAGTCCAAAATTAACATGACCAATTTCTAATGAATTTAATTACTCTTCATCAAAGTATGTTCACTAAATATAATTTAAAAATTCATATAACTAACCTTTTTGAAAAAGATGTCTCGATTTTTTTGGTTTTACGTCAATATCTTTTGTTTTTAATTCATATAAAGCAGAGGAAACAGGTTTTCTCTGTTCGCTACAAGTTTTTAAATCAATAGGAGAATATATATTCTGTGGAAACAAAACAAAAGAAATGAAACAATGATAATATCGCTTACATATGTCTTAGAATTCTCAAAGAACTCTCACGTGTATTATATATTATCATGATTGGTTTTCACTTAGAAAACAACAACAAAACCTGTGAGATAGGCAGAGTTGAGACAAGAGCTCCATTGTGTATGATTTTGATAAATTGTCTTTCTATCAAGAGTTAATGATATACTCCGGACAATGCTCTAAAGGAGACTGAGGGAAAGGGAGACCTATCAGGAGGGTGCCATGACAAAAGGAACCAGTGGAGGAAGAGAAATAAGGAATAAAGAGAAGCAAGATAGTGTTGTCCAGGAAGCCTGAGGGAAGATTCGGAATGAGAAATGAGAGACAAAATTATTTCATAGAACACTAAAAGGTAGTAACATGGAAGAAAGAGAAATGGGACCAGAATTATCACAAGTCTTAAAAGTACAAATGGATCAGTAGTGTGGAAAGAATAACAAGTAGAATATTGAAAAGGAGCTTCATGGAGAACAGGAGCACTGTCAGATGTAAACTATAGAATGTCTGTAAACTGGCTGGGAAGTTTTAATAATAGAAGGTCATCTCCCTTTCTCTTCACAGTCAATCCAGAACTGGTACTGAAGATCCCCCAGTTCATGAGGAACCCAGGCTCTTTCAAAATTTACCATCTCTATCCTACTGCATCTATATGGCTTCTATCCTCTAGGTTTACTCATGAGTCAAGATAGCTACTCGAGCTTCAAATACCATGTTTACATTTCAGTCAGCAAGATGGAGGAAAGGGTAAAATGACAAAAGAGTACAGGGCATGTCTTAAGAAACTTTCCCAGAATTCCTTTCAATAACTTCTGTTTATATCTCATTGGCCACCCACAGCTACAAAGGAGAGGGTAAGAAATGCAGGCTTTTTGCCAGGTACTTTATGCCGGGAGTAAAATTGGGGGTCTGTTACCAAGAAAGAAGAAAAAGACAGATATTGGTAGGCAACCAACAGCCTGCTTCAAGGAAAAAATTAAGAGTCTTGGGAGGGGATATACATTCATATTTTGAGAAATCTTCCCAGAATATTATGGTTTCCTTGATGAGAACCACTGGTCTAAATTCTGAAGACTCAATAATATATATCTTCAGATAGATCTCCTTTCTGAGATGTTTGCTTTTGTATATTTGTCTATGGAATACTTGTATAGTGCTTATCATTTACCATTGTTTTAAGCTCTTTAAAGATATTCATTTATGTAATACTCTTAACTAGCATGAGCTGTGGTCCTTCATCCTGGAAAACGTCACAGACATCTCATACTTAAGAGAAGTGAAGTCATATCTTTCCTCCAAACCTATTGATATTTTATTTTTACTTTTGGTGAATAGCACCACCTTTATCCAATGAGAGGAAAGTCACATAAACTCTCCATGATGTGATAGCTGATAGAATGTTGAAATAGAAAACTCATCATATTTCCCCTACCTTGACCTGTCCACTTGTCCAAACCTCCTTTATTCTACAATTTAGAAGTGACACTTGGATATGTGTCCTGGTCCCCTGTATTTACAATTTTTTGTCCAAATTCCTATACCACACAAAACATATATATTTAATTAAATATCCTTGAGTTTCTATCTTTTACATTTTCTATGTGATGTTCTCTAATTTATTGAAAACAATTTGTCTCTATGCAGTAACTTATTGTGTAAGGATGTTTTAATGCTCATGATAGGTACTAGGTATTATCTGGTCCTGGAATAAATCTCAGTTTTTATTCTTTACTAAAAAATCCTTCATTAATTAACTCTCACACAATTTCTTTTCAGTCTTTATGTGACAAAAATACTCCTTTTTGCTAGAAAGACAAATAAGTAGGTACTTTTAAGCTCATATATTCTGTTTATTTTTAGAAATTTTCTTAGGTTGTCAAGAAAAACTATAATATAATAACACAATATCAACACATTATCAAAATACAACTTTATTTTAAATAATGTTGCTTCTATTTTCATTTGGGCTCAATTCTTTTTATTAAACAAAGTATGACAAAAAAAAAAAAATGTAGACCACTGTTTTGCAATCAAAGCTGTAAAACTCAATTCCAAATGCTTTTGTGTGTGTGAGGAAAATTCGCCCTGAACTAACATCTGTTGCCAATACTCCCTTTTTTTTTGCTTGAGGAAGATTATCCCTGAGATAATACCTGCACCAATCTTCCTCTACTTTGTTTGTGGGAAACCTCCATGGCTGATGAGTGCAGTAGGTCCGCATCCAGCATCCCAACTGGTGAACCCCAGGCCGCTGAAGTAGAGTGTGCGGAACTTTAACCACTTGGCCACAGGGCTGCCTCCCCAAATGCTTTTTAAATCTCAAATTCATTGATCGCATTACATCATCATTCTTGTATCTTCTTTCTTTTATGAATTTTTCTCTATTTTGGTAACTTCTCTCTCTCTCTGCCTCCTAATGACGCAATTCATCATACGTTAAAAATCACCTCAAATTCTATTTCAACCATAGAAAATGGGCCCTTTCTTCTAGGTCTCTCACTTATAATCTAGCCATGAAGAAATAATGAAAGTGGAATGCACGAATATGCTCACCAGCTATGTTTCTACTAGTACTTATTCCTTTACCTTCCCCCGGAAGAATAAAGACATCTTTGTAAAAAGTATATATCTATCTGTCAAATCTGAGTATCTAATCTTTATCACAAATAAAGCTAATTTACAGAATCATGAAATTTAAAAGTCCAAAAATTAAATTGACAGCTAGTTAGTTCCTTTCAAAAAAATATTTTCTTTAGTTCTCCACTTATCCTTTTTCCTATATCCACATCATTGTTTGGCATCATTTAAAATAATTTTCCCTTTCTTGGCTTTTATAAAAACAGAATCCATGGAAAAGGACGCATATGTGACAGTGAAACAAATGTATACGAAGAGGATCAGAGAGTCTAAAACTCTAAATGAACTGAGGCTTACACAAGCTGCCAAGGTAAGGAAAATGTGCTTTTCTATGTCCTGCAAGAAGAAAAAGAAAGTATGTGCCTACTTGTTGATTCATCTTCCAAATCAAGAAGAAGGAAAAGTTATCTGAAAACTGAGGATAATCTAAGAAATATCTTGTTTTCAGTAATAAAAAGTATATTCTATTAACTAAAGTAACTTAAACCTAATAGTTGTTCTTAATAACTTCAGAAAATATTTTAAGGATATTTGGTAGCATTTAATAAAGGATAGTCACCAAAGAGCAGTATAAACTGGCAACAAACTAACTATATCAGATATAATTTTATTTTTAACAGGGTCAAAATTAATTCAGATTCAAATATCCTTGATATGATAAGCCTGGATTATTTCAGCAATATGTTTGCTAAATGCTTTAACTACTTATGGAAAGACAAAATGATTAGGGAGGTGTTCACTCATCACATGGAAAAGAGTAAGGATTAATAAAATGATGCCAACCTGAAGGGAGATCTCTAATGTTATGATATGTGGACCTGTTCTTAGCCCTATCCTCATCAATATTTATCTGAATACTTTGAATAAAATATAAAGAAAATGCTTATCAAATATTCAGATGAGGTGGTAAAAGAATGAAATCAGTTAACATCAAACAGGAATTTAAAATATTAACAACAGACTGGAATAATAGGTCGAACTAAACAGATGAAGTTTAATAGGAATAAATATTGCAGTTGGGCAAAGTGCATGCAATCACTGCAATACATAATATGATTTAAAAATATAAGTGATAAACAATAAAACATTTTAGTTAAGAGTAAATTAATTGAGTCTGTTGTGTGATAAACTTATGCTGTATTAAGCATCTCATCTAGAATGAGGGAAATGACAGTCTTACCATATTCATTTCTGATCAGAACCGTAACTGAAACACTATATCAGGTCAGGGTATTTTCAGATTATTACAGATAACCTGGATCATAAAAAGATAGAAGCCTACCAACTGAATTATTTTTAAAGTAAGCCTTCTATAAATAAGCTATGTTTAAATCCAGAGTAGAGAAACAGCAACAAAGAGATTCAGACTTCTCACCTCCTCCAACTTCCATCTTCCACATCTTGTAAAATGATACCATTCTTTTGTTCAAGCCATAAAAACTTAGAATTTGTCCTTTATTTTATCCTTTTCCTGAAACCCTATATCCAAGCCATGAACAAATCTTGGCGATTCAATCTCCTAAATGTATTTCAGATCTGTTCACTTCTCTCCATTTCACTTTACTTCTCTAGTCTAAGCTATAATCATTCCTTCCAACCACAAATAGCCTCCTATTGGTCTGTGCTTTCACCCTTTCTCTTACAAGACACAATTTCATTTGTCAAAAGTAAATCTGATCATGTTTCTCTTTAGCTTTAAATATCCTGATGGCTGTCCAAGATGTTCAGGCCTTACTATGAGCTACAAAAACCCAGCAAAATATGGCCCGTGATCACATAGACAACTCATTGTATGCTACTCTTGACTTTGTTCACTATATTCCTGCCGCACTGCATTTTATTCAGTTCCTTCAGCCCAAGTCAAAGAAAATAAGCTACTGCATGCCTCAGGATCTTGTGCAAGCTCTTCCCTCTGCCTAGAACACTCTCCTTCCTATACTTTGCATGGCTAGCTTCTTATCCTTCAGGTCTTAACTTTAAATATTATTTCCTCAGAAAAACGTTCTGTGACAATCTTATGAGAAGTAGGCTTCCTCCTATTCTTCTCTATCTCAGGATCCTATTTATTTCATTCAAACATTCATCACAATTTTATTTGTTTGTTTACTTGGGTTACAACTTGTTTGTCTTTTTTTTTTTTTTTTTCTAGAATCTAGTCCACAAGGGCAAGGACTTTGCTTGTCTTGTTTACTCAGTGCCAAGAGTTGCCCCTGGCACTCAGCAGATGCTCAAAACTAATTTGTTAAAGGTTGAGTGAATATTATCAAAGAGAAGTAGTAGAAGGAATAAGTGGAAGTTTAGGAACTTTGGCTCAATAT